TGATGTCAGAATTACAAAAAATGATAACAATGTAAGAGGAATAGGGGCTTAACTGAACCAAAGTCTGGGTGCTCTTTTTTAAGAAATCCATGTAATAATTAAAAATATTCTTCTAATACTACTTTGTTCTGTAAAAGAGATCAGAGTCATAGTAGAATAAAAACAGAATGCTCAGTAGCATAAATCCATTGCAAAGCTACATAGGTATTAAGCTAATTGCATAATTACTGTCACTACATATAACCATAAGTGGTTTATTGTGTTCACTTCAAATCTCTTTCATAATTCCATTCTAAAAACATGGCACTGAATTAGTTCTTCAGTAATTTTTCAGGTTTAATAAATCTATTTTGTCATGTAATCTCCTCAATCTACCAGGTCTCTTTAAAATCAGACTTTTTTCCCCAAAGGAATAAATAAATTACTATATAACAACCCATATTCAGCAGTGAAAGCAAATGAGGACTGTGCCTACACATCAAATAAAAATTAATCCAGTTCTTAGTATTTCTTTCTTATCTTTGAAGTCACTTCCAGGTCTTTAACCTGTTAGTTGTCAAAGATATTTAATAACATCAGAACAGAGGCTAACAAAGATGATCAGCCCAGCTATCTTTCAGTTGGAATACTAAATCATTTCACAATTTATATAAGCAGTTAATTGTTATTGAAAATAAACTTTTTAACTGGCAATGGTGTTTCTGAAAACTGCTTATATCTACATTAGTTATTATTAAACATTATTTTCTGGTGGTGGTTGTTTTGATTGTTACAACAGGACAGAAATTGGTTTATAGTCACCTGGCTTTGGGTTTACCCTCTTTTTGGCCTCCAGACTGCATATAGGCACAGATGATATCACTTATCTACAAGATAGGCAATACCAGTGGCATGATGAAGTAGAGTAGTAAATAACTCCTCTTTTTATTCTAGGTGCAACATACAGTTTTACATTGTAATTACATTGTGAAAAGGAAGGAGAAATAAATAAAAAGAAATATACAGGAAACATTCACAACAATACAATGGCCTTTTGACACAGCAAAAACTGCTTAGGTTGGTCCTAATTCCTTCAGCATTCATCCCAGTTGACTCCTATGAAAGCTAGGAATGTAGGGTTCTAGCTTTGTTCCCCAGTTAACCCAAGGTCATCCATAAAATGGACTGGACTGTTTCATGGTGTGAACATCTTACTCCAAGGTTGCTTTGCCTTTGACATCAATGAAGCCAAGTTTTCACCCCTCATACATAGAATGAGCACCAGAGAAAGGGGACAAGAAAAAGGAAAGTCAAAGTAATGCCACTGAGATACAGACTATACCCTGTTCATCTTGTTATCACTCACAATTAAATAGGAAACTAACAGGAGGATAGGAAAGAGTGAGAGAGAACACCTTTATGCCTTGTTCAAAAGATATTTCAGGCTTCCTGTAACGGGCAGCAATAGGCTCAGAAATTCTGTCTGCAGGTAAAAAAGCTTCTGTTTTCACATTTCAAAGTAGACTTAGCTGTGCAAGCAGGTGTGAGTGAAGATCATACTAGAAATATAATGCACATAAGATAAATAATTGTATATACTTTTATACCAAGGTCAGTGGAAAAAATGAAAAGGCTGCTGTCAAGATTCTGATTCATTTTGAATTAATCCATTTTCCCCTTGCAGCCATTTTGCAGAATAAAACTTTTTGTTGTGGTATAACTTCTGTATAAAGGCAACTTATTGAATGGTAGAAAATTTATATTGGCTGCAGCAAATATAAATGTTTTTTTTTGTCTGATGAAAAACTGCTGTCATGTTTTAAACTCCTCTGTATGTGCATGTGTATATTCCTGTTTTCGGAGTAAGATGTATGAATACTGCAGTGAAATGAGAAACTGCTCCCATAAAAACTAGCTCTCTGCTAGGATCTAGACACTCTTTGAATGTATAAATTTCAACCTCTAAACCAAGCAGATTAATCCTTCATGTATAGTAGAGCCAAGTGTTGTCCTAGAAAATGATAGCTTCATTTCTAGATGTATTGTGAAATGTATGGGATGAGCTAGGATATATAAAATAGCTACATAACTCTTTTTTTAATAAAGTAATAACAATAGTGCCAAGGGGAAGAAGTGCCAAATGAGTAAGCACCAGCAGGAAAAATAAAAGGTTAAGCAACTAAAATAGAATAGATACTGTCTGCTCCCCTTTACAGAGCAAGGTCATAGGCTTTAAAGGAGTTCCTATATATTTTCATCAATGTAACTGAGGAAGAGTTTGGATCACTACATGCAAAAGCTATTTAAACAGAAGTGTAATTTATGGGAATCCTTTGGGATGGTCTATGAATAACACTTTCCCTGCAATTATTAGTTTTGTAATTCTCCATTACTGAGCAAGGTTTTTAAGGGGACCACATCCTTCAGTAGTATTAAATGTATATGTCCTGAAGACTTGACCCCAAATCTGCGCCTTTAAATATCCATAGTAGAGGGCAGTGTGGTCTTACACAACTTCCAGAGATATTCCTGGATGCAATTTTTCTCACTTAGAGATTGTGTTTTCTGAAAGAATATCTTAGCTGCATCTTTGAAACGGTACAAAAGAGAGCCCTCCTTCCTCTTTGGCGTATGCAAAATAAGGAGAGATCACCGTATTTCTACCTGCAACCTGATCCTCTCTCTTCTTTCTGGGAAGCCAGCACTGCTACCAGTGGGTTCCTATGCTTTCACTGGGATCAAGTCCTAATTGCCAAGCTGTGATATCAGCCCCATGCTTCATGGTACCTGAAAGAAAAACTTGTACTCCTGATATTCTTTGCATAGGAGGGCTGGCCATGGGATAGTTCTTGAGAGTAATACTTTCATGTACAATAAAAATAGATGGTTACTTAGAAATCCCAAGATCAAGCAATGTGTTTTCTTTGACATTATTGCAAAGAAATGTTATTGAATGCTGCTCAGATCAATTTAGCTTTTGTGTGTTTTATAATAACATGGGTTTCTAATTTAGTAATGCATGGAGAACAAGCAGAGCTGGCATAAATGTTTTAGGAAAATGAATTTCAAAGCTTTGTATGCTGATTATGTGGAATTATAATTATAAATTTGCCTTTATGAATTTTCATGCCAGGAGGGTCTGGGCTTTCATTCAGTCAGGGAATAGAAATTAGTGTCCTTGTCCCATAAAAGAGAGAGAAGCAGAATGGACCTCATCCAGGGGTCTTCACTCTTGTGTATTGTGGAACTCCCAGAGCATCATCGATTCACTAGATTGGGTGGAGGGGAGAAAGCATGGAGACAGAGTCGTTAGACCAGAAGTAATACAGTGTGGATGAGGTCCATAAAAGTCTGTGTATAGTTCTATAATTAACATTCATTTGTTTGAAAAGTAAAAGAGAAAATGAAAACTATCTTCCTCTCATTTTTCCTTGTTCAATATGACAAAAAATATACAGCAGAGCTTTGATCTTTTGTACTTAAGTCACATGTTGATAGACTTTTGCCGTTAAATTAAATGCTGTGTAATAGATTATGAAGTATATAAATTCAAGTCATGAAAGTAATTGGATCCAAAGTATCTTTAAACATAAAGTTTGATAGTTGAGCAGATACATGGCTGGATATGGAAACTACAACAATCAAAAACTCCATTAAAAGCCTCTGAAGTAAAATTAATTAATTTTTAATCTAATCACTAGTTTAAAATTTTGAATGAAGAAATCAAGCAGACTTTAGCCATAAGAGTGCTAGAGTAACATCATTGTAGCTCCAGAAAGAAGCTCCCCTGCCCCACCTCACCTCACCCCACCCCACCACTCCCTGCTCCCCACTTGGAAATCCTTTGTTCCTTTTATTTCAGAAAAAGTAAACCTTTCAGTGTGTTTACAGTGCTGTTACGCATCCAACAGACCACTTAAAGGGTTCATTTACCAACATCATTAAAAAACACTGCATTGAAAGTATCAGATGCGAAAATCCAAGTGCTAGGAAAATACTGGTCTCAGTAAAATAAATGACAGATAATTCTCTCTCTCACACTTTAGTTTTGAGGATAAAAATGTTTCGACTTCAAAATGTGGCAAACACTTTGCAGGAAAGATAGAAAAATGGTATCTTTTCCTTCCTCCCACTTACAAAAAATTAGTTTATTAATAAGTATTGTACATGATATTGAATGTCTGGGGTAGTATCATCAATATCTTTTCATGTGCTCGGTTATACAGTTCAATGGCACATTGTTTATATTGCTTATTTTAGACCTCTGCTATGCATTAAAATGAAATGCTTCAGAATGAATGAATGATTTGACTTCTATAGATATTTTCAATGCTGTATGCATTATCTATTGATGTATTTAGTGTATAAGTTAAAGGAGCATGATGAAGTTAGAGGTTAGGGAGGCACAGTTTCTCGTGATAATAAAATAATAACCTTTTAAGTGCTTTATGATTTCTTTCATAAAGGATTTTTTCAATTTTAGTTAAAGGTATTTGGAGAACCATTTAACATACGTCAAAATAAAAAAAGCAAAAAGGGAAGATTTTAACGTTGATATTTCCACCCCAAGTTTTCCAGGTCCTCAAAGCCATTTTGATATGAATGTAGCAATTTTTGTTTTATTTCCTGATTGGTTACAAGCTTCTCAGGAGAAGCAGCAACTAATACTTGCTGGGTTGAGGAAGAGTCTTCAAGAAAGTTGTACTTTAATATTTCTGCTAATTCTTTATAAGCAAGAGTGTTATATTAGTGCCTATACTTTTCAAGGTCTAGAAGACCTTTCAGGAAATCTGTTTGGAAAGGCCTGTATTTTGGTCTTATTTCACTTGGCAAAGCACAGCCCAAAATAAATCAATCATTTGATGAAGAGAAACCATAGTGGCAGGTTCCTACTGTCCTTTGTCAGATTAGTTTTGCTGTAGCTATGGCAACACCTTGCCTCCAGACCAAAGTTCACTTATTTTACATCTTTATTACCACTGCTGCTAGTTCAAAGTTTACTGGCATAAACTTCCTGCCAGTACAAAGAACGAGATCCAAAGTTTCTAGCAGCAGGGCAGGGAACAGTCTCAAGATTTAAAGGACTAAGGAAATAAGAAAAAAATATCCCGAATCCCAAGAAAAACACTTCTTTGAGACAAAATGCCATCCAGGAAAAAAACGTTGATGTTTGCAGCTGCCTTCTTTACTAGTATTTGGTCTTTTGTGATCGTCTGCCTCGTTCTTGCAACCAAACACTGGGCATCAAGTGAGGTTACCTTTTCCCAAGAAAATTCAAGCTCTGTTACCGTAACCATTGCATTTGGAATTTTCAAAGGTGCATGCTCACAGACTATAACTGGTGGAGTTCAGATGTCAGCAACAACTTTCCAAGGTAACTACTGCAGTGAATGTAAATGGATAGTGTTAACTTGGCTTGCCTTGATTCATTCCATCTTGGTAGATATATATGAACAGCAGTTCATTTCTTTTGTTTGTACATAAAATATTTTTATTGAAGACAGAGAATGTTCAGACTAACATCAAAGGATTAAGGAGAGCTTTAAAAAGGAGAAAACAAATAGTAAAGCATATAATAGCATCAACACATTTACAAGGGGAAAACTTTCAAATTATTCATGAACATGTAATCCACCACAATGTGGAGAGTGAGTATCAAGGTAAAAGGGAAATGGGTATATTAGAAATAGCAAGTCCACATTTGTAAAACTTTCATAAAGAACAGAATCCTAATAATATTTTTTTAAGATTTAAAATATAAAAGATACCACATATCAAGACTAGTAGGACTTTTTATGCATAGATTAGAATTTGTTTGCAAAATCACTGATTTAGAAGTTTTTTCTTGCTCCCAATTGCCAGTCATAGATCTAAGCTCTAGCAGATTGCTTAAGGAAAAAAATCCAAAGTATTAGATAAAGTTCTACTGAATGAGTCTAGTCTAGATAAATTAATGATAAAAACAGAGTAACACATATCTGGAACTAACACATACGTTTTCTCATGTAAATACAGTGCTCTGACACTGATGTTTGGCATTAGACATTAATTTTAATTTTTTTAGAAAGATTGTCATAAGTCTTAGATTCTGTTAGCTGTTATATAGCTATGCTTTACTGATATCAAAGCAGTTAAGTAAAATGCTATAAATTGATTTTTTAAATAATTAAAGTTAAACTTTTAAAATTACAGATTGGTGAAAAAAAAGATTAACATGATAACATCTATTATCCATTTCCTTTTAAATCAACTTCTTTTTAACAAAAAATAGTATTTTTAATTCTTTTATTTCTATACATATTACTATAGCTATCCAGTAGTGGCAATTTCTTATTTCTAATGCCACACTGTATCAAATGTACACTGAAACGTGAACTTGTTACCCACTTTTCAGGCTCTCTATCAGATTGCCAAGAAGCCTATCTGATAAATTTATAAGTTTACAGGGATGACAGGAAAAGAAAGAACTATTAAGACAGACTACAGACAAAAAGAGAAAAAGATGAAAAAGGGGAAGGGAAGGACCCTTGAGAAAGATGATAAAAATAAAACAAAAAAACAATACTGGAAACAAAATACCAGGAGCAGCAAAATAGAAATAATGAAATTGTGTAGGTTAAATAAATGTTATTGAACTGGATAGAAGTGTCTGAAAATTCTAAAAAGATTACGCACGTACTTAAATTTTTGCTGAGTTGTTCTATTGACAACGATGTTGTCAATAGAAATGTATTTACACCAGTGTTAATCCAATAACTTCAGAATAACTACTTTAATGTTTAAGTATGAAACTGAGAGGAGAAGCAGCCCCCAATGCCTTACAATTAGGAAGAATTATTTAAATCAATTAGAAAACATTTTACAGCTTTCTACTCCTCATACTTTTGGCAGAGACACTAATGGCACAAACAGACCACAGCCAGACACAACTCCAGAAGCTCCTTGATTTAGAAAATAGTGATTGGAATCATTTAGTTCTTCCTCATTCATTATATTGTTACCTGAATTTATCAAGAATGCTCTACCTGCATTACCAACAGGACCTGAGTTTGTAACAGTGACAAGAGGAGCCAATTCACCCTGGGGATGTAATTACACTACAGTCAAGACTTGTCATAGTGTCTACATGACAGCAGAACATCAAACTATTATAATGGCAGGGCTAAGCAATCCTAATGTATGCAAATTTTAAGATCTACATTCCAACCAAATCTTTACTAGCAGAATAGCTTAAATATTATTTTAAGAATGAAAATTATTACACAAGGGTACATTAAAAACCGAAGTTTTGACATCAGTCCATTTAAACAATTCAATTTGTTTAAGGTAGAAGAGCTAGATCAGGATTTAATTAAGCTAGTCTAAATCATATCTATGCAGGTATATAAAACAAGGCATATGTATAAGAACTGTTTATATTTAATTGTTTTACCCTTATGCCAGTAAGTGCTGTTCCTGATCACAGTTCTATCTATAAAAATTGGAATTTATCTATATAGAGGACACTGCAGAAAGCCACCACAGATTGGAAATAATTCAGGCCATGCATTTTGTCTTTTACAATGATTAGCACAATAGAGTCTTCGGCCTGATTATGGCCTCTGTGTGCTACTGCAATATAAGGATTAATTACAAACTAATAAAAAGCACTCACAGGATATTTGCAAGAGCAAAGCAGGTAGGATTTGACCTGCATACTATATTTTTAGGCATGGTACTGTGCTTTGTTGCTGCCTATTTGAATTATAAGTAAAATGATATTTGGCAGGTTATTAGCTGCAATGTACCATTGTGACTTTTCTGTTTCCAGAAAAAAAGTGAGCAAAATTTAAATATTATGAAAAGAGGTGCATACTTTGGCCATGGTAACTGTTTTAAGCAAGAACTTTACCAGATGGGCAAAGAACATGTTTGAAAAATAACCTATCAATTTGCTCAAGTCCCTCAGTTAAATTGATATATGACGCAGTCAAATGTAAAGTGTTTTCATTCTAACGGTGTTGGTTGTAGCTGTGTTGGTCTAAAGACATAAGCGGGGAAGGTTATTTGGGTAAATGTGATATATTTTATTAAACCAACTGAATAGTTGGAAAAATTCTTCTTTACAAGCTAGTATTGTAGGTTGTACAATTGTACAGTACTGTAGATGTTTTTTGCTGAGGCCTGTACTATATGGTTTTGCAAATTCTCAAGACATGTACAATACACACTTTTGTGAAAGATTGTTTTCTGACACTAAACTTAATATTAAACAATATTAAAATAACCCCACTGATCAGACTTCAAATGTCAGAGTATCCTAGTAAACTACAATCTCTTTCTTTGAGAAAGAACTATCACCCTTTTCACCTAATGAGACTGTTGGTGAGGAGGGAAGCTATTTTGTCATTTTCACCAAAACTGAATTTCACATCCCTACAAAGCAGTGTGAAAAGGGAAGAACTGCCGTTAGACTATAATGTGAGAAAATAACTGTGTGGACTATTCTATGTATTTTTAACTGATAAAAATAAATGGTGTAGTAACTTAAATAGCCGTGTTCTGTCTGTTTTCTAAATTTTGAAGCATGATGAAAGGCCAAATGGAACACATTGGTTTTCTATAGCTTTGGAGAGATGGTATGTGGCTAATATTTACATAACTTACCACTTGCTTGAAATTCCAGTTTTAAACTCCATGTCTGGATCCCCACATTGCTCATGGTTTTTGCTATACTGTTCATGTACATAAATTATTAAATACAAAAATAGCAATTTGAAAATAAAATTTACAGAAAACTCTGTTTTCAGATCTTGGTAGTGTTTTTTACCATGACTACCATTAAAAAAAAAGGTGTTTTCAGAAACCATTTAAAAATATTTTGTAGCAAAATTTCAACCACTATAATATGAAGTATTACTTCAGAGTGACACTAGCCATTTGATCCATAGCAATTTTAGAAACAAAAGGATTTTAAATTGCAGAGGCTATGTGTTATCACGTAGCTGCCATGACAAAGTGGAATTGAGAAAAATGTTATTGCGGGGGGGTCTTGAAGAAAGGAATGATGGTAATATAGGGTTGTATTAAAAGAAAAATATGAAGGGACAGGTGTCCTTTTTTCATAAAATAACAATTAGGAAGAGTAATAAGCATTGTTTTAACCATGCAGCCCATCCTGTTAATAGCAGCAACTGTCTCATGCACTGTGGATCTCCATTAGATATTTTGTCTCTGTTTCTCATGTGGAACTTCCATGGATTTCAGTGGACATTGTGCCTAAGAATTTGAATGGAAATTGTGCTGTAAAAGATAGGCAACATAAACCAAACAGGAGAGTTTAACCTTTATGTAGCTATTTTTGGAAATCAGAAATGTCCAGCAGCACGTGGGAATCTGGCTTCAGCTGCATGCTGCTCCGGATGGGACAGACCCGCCCAGGTCGGCACCAGCCAGCAGAGGCGGTGGCGGAGCCATGTGCCACTCAGGACTGACCAGTGCAGGTAGGGGAAAGTGCAGCTGAGCCCCTGCTGCTCCGGCCGGGCTCATCCTGTCCTGAGCAGCACAAGGCTACTCCTCCTCCCACACGCATCACGTCGGCAACGTCAAGCTGACGCGGTGCGTGTGGGAACCTTGTCCCTTCCCCAGCCCTTCAGCAGCCATAAGGAAGCTGCTGAGGGGCTGGAGGAGGGACAAGGGGTAGGAACGAAAGTAAACAGAAAGTAAGTAGCACCACAGGCCTCAGAAAATGCCTTGGCAGGCCACATGTTGGACAAGCCTGATCTACAAGGAGACCTCACAATGT